TCCATTGTGCCTATCGACCTCAGAGCCTAGACAGGTAGAACGCATGAACCGCACCCCAAAAGGTACTTACAAAGTTAATCCTAGAGACCGGGAAAAATTAGGTAAAGTTTCCTTCCTTTAGCCCTTCTTGTGAGTAAGATGTACTCTTACAGGGCTAGTTTTCACCTTTTGGAAATCAGTGTATAGGAGGGTTCACTATCGTGCCTAAAGGTTAAAGGATACCCATTTACCAGAAATCTCACAAGCTAATTTATTACAGTACCTGCAGTCTCCCAACAGGTACAAGACATCATCCAGCCGCTTGTCCAGGGAGCTCATCTCATCCAGTTCCTGACCAGACGGGGCCCTGCCACACTTTCCAGCCAGGTGACCTGGTGTATGTTAAAAAGTTCCAAAAAGAAGGACTCACCTGAAAGGGCTTCATACTGTCATCCTCACCACACTGACGGCTCTGAAAGTGGATGGTATCTAGCTTAGATTCATCACTGCATCAAAAGGTCAACAGAGCCCAACAAGAAACATAGGTCCCTAAGCCTGGGCCAGGCCCCTTGAAACCGCGCCTAAGTCGAGTGAAGCCATCAGATTAATTCTTTTTGTTTACCTCTATTGTTTCTTTCCGCCTAGTATGCCCTCTGCTCCACCCTGCTCTTTCCTCTTCACTTCTTTCACTACAGAACGTGCATTTGCAACACTACTTAGAAGGCAGCACTCCAGTCAGCCATAAATATACTGCATACCCAGGTGGAGTCTCTGGCTGCAGTAGTTCTTCAAAACCGCTGAGGTTTAGATCTGCTATTCCTCTCCCAAGGAGATTTATGCGCGGCTCTAAGAAAGCGTTGTTGTTTCTGTGCCAATCTAAGGTCATAAAAGATACTCCTCCAAACGTTTGAGAAAATCTAGACAGACGCCAGAGAGAACAAGAAAGTAACACCCCCTGGTACCAAAATGCGTTTAACTGGAATCCATGGCTAACTACTCTCATCACTAAGTTAACTGGAGCTCTCCTCCTCCTACGGTTAGGTTGAGTCTTCGGCCCTGTATATTAAATTGGTTTCTTAATCCTTTGTAGCAACACATAGCTTCTGCTGTTTATGTATCTTAAAGCCTAACATAACCCCCTTTGTTATAACCGAGGAATCAATGATTTGATTCTCCAAAAACACAAGTGGGGAATGATACCCAACTTGTATGAACTTGGATTGACTCTCTTAGCTGAGAAAGCCAGACAGATTCCATGGCTCCTTTCATTTGCAAGATATTAAGGGCTCCTACCCACCCCTTCCTCAAGGACTTAACTAGTGCCAGCTGACCTCAGCACCGCCAAAGAATGCAGTTAACTGATAAGATGCTGTGGCAAGCTGTGTCCATAGTTCCCAAGAATTCGCCTGCTGATGGTAACAATACCAAAACCCCCATTTGGTCCGGTTGGTAGCGCCCCAAAGCCCAGCGCTCATCACCTTGTGATGGATTTAAAGCCCTGCAATTTGTGAACTGCTTCCTTCCTGTAACCATTTGTCTTTAAACTTTTATTGCCTGTTTTACTTCCATAAGATTGCTACAGCCAGGCTGCCCCCTCCCCTCTTTCTCTAAACCAAAGAATAAAAGAAAATCTAGCCCCTTCTTTGGGGCTGAGAGAATTTTGAGCACTAGCTGTCTCCCAGTCGCCGCTAATAAAGGACTCCTGAATCTGCCTCAAAGTGTGGCTTTCTCTTACAACTCATCTGCTACAACAACTTCAGATGGTGAAAGCCACAGCAACAAAGCGGGGGGTGAAGCAGCCACCCATTTTTAAACGAGCAGATCTCGTAAGAACTCGCAATCGCAAAGACGGCACCAAGCCATGAAGCTCCAATGATCCAAACACCTCCCACCAGGCCCCGCCTAGCATTGGGGATTACACGAATATGCGATTTGGGCAGAGACAAATATTCAAATCCTCTGTCACTCAGCCATCCCTGCTGAGATGCTGATGTGTGAGTGAAGTGACTTGAACCTTTGAGTGCAGCCCATATGCCAGTTGAATACCATCAAATGGCCTCAGTCAGTGCCACAGGAGTAACGAATCTCTCCTATGAGCATGGCTCAAATTCCAACCCACGAAATACATGGGCAGTGGTAATTATAAAGGAAGACAGGGAGTGAATTGATTGAGTGGCCATCAGTGTGCTGAAGGAAAAAAACAACAGGCCTCAGAATAGCCATTGATCAACTTATGGCCCACGGTGAAAATCAGGAGGGGCTTCCAGAGATGTGTTTAAAGACAGGTCACACTGTGCTGACAAAGCCTAGGACCTGATGAGAACTGCAGCATGAATCAGGGCAGATGAATGGTTTCATGTCCTGTGCTACAGTTGAGGAGCACAGAAGGGCGAGCGGAACACTGCCACCTAGGGCAGCGACGTCAGGGTAGATGGGTTCAAGAGTCTTGAATTCTAGGCTGCGTGGCTCATGGCTGTAATCTCAGCACTTTGGGAGGCTGAGGTGGGTGAATCATCTGAGGTCAGGAGACTGAGACCAGCCTGGCCAACACAGTGAAACCCCGTCTCTACTAAAAATACAAAATCAGCTGGGCGTGGTGGCGCATGCCTGTAATCCCAGCTACTTGGGAGGCTGAGGCAGGAGAATTGCTTGAACCGGGAGGTGGAGGTTGCAGTGAGCCAGATGGCTGCACTGCACTCCAGCCTGGGTGTCAGAGTGAGACTCCATCTCAAAAAAAAAAAGGCCGGGCGCGGTGGCTCAAGCCTGTAATCCCAGCACTTTGGGAGGCCGAGATGGGTGGATCACGAGGTCAAGAGATCAAGACCATCCTGGCCAACACGGTGAAACCCTGTCTCTACTAAAAAAAAAACTAGCCGGGCGAGGTGGCGGGCGCCTGTAGTCCCGGCCACTGGGAGGCTGAGGCAGGAAAGGGCGTAACCCGGGAGGCGGAGCGCCAGAGGAGCTGGAGATCCGGCCACTGCACCTCAGCCTGGGCGAAGCAAAGCAAGACTCCGTCTCAAAAAAAAAAAAAAAAAAAAGGCTGGGCATTGCAATTGGTGGATTATGCCTGTAATCCCAGCACTTTGAGATGACGAGGTGGGCAGATCACAAGGTCAAGAGATCGAGACCATCCTGGGCCAATATGAAGCTCCCTGTCTACTAAAAATAAGAAATTTAGCTGGGCATGGTGGCGCACACCTGTAATCCCAGCTACTCAGGAGGCTGATGCAGGAGAATTGTTGAACCCAGGAGGCAGAGGTTGCAGTGAGCTGAGATCGCACCACTGTACTCCAGCCTGATAACAGAGCAAGATTCTGCCTCAAAAAAAAAAAAAAAAGAATGTGATATTGTGACCAGTCCTGATATCCGACTGAGATGGCTCACGAAGCGTGGGAAGCAGTACATGAGAGGCAGATAATAAACGATCGTGGAAGGGCATTGAGAAGGAGACAGAGGCCTCCGGGAGGGGGATGTGCTGGCACAGATTTATTATGCAAGATCTGAGAAGCCAGTTGACCGTATTTCTGGAGGGGCCCAACAGATACTGCTTGGTCAGTGAGGGGGTCTATGCATCACTGGGCACCGGCATGGCCGGCCCTCTGAGGCCAGGGTATAAGAGAGCAAATAGGACTGGAGCTGGCCTTGGAAGGGTCAGCAGGAGATAGGATTCCAGAGAGCAGAGGTTCGGTTGATGTGACAGTCAGAACAGGAGCAAGGCCAGAGTGGCTGTCAGGAGTCATAGATGCATAGGAGTCTCTGGTGAAGGCTAATGGACTACGGTATTCCTAGGGGCCACAGTGCAGCCCTGACAGTGCTTGACTGCTCTAAGCAAAGAAAGATCAAAAGAAAAACAAGCAAACAGGACAGTAATGGCAGCTGCTGATGGAAAATCCCAACCCCTCACCCAGTTTCCAGGCCTAAGCTAGGCCTCAGACCCGGAGGTCACTGACTGAAAGGGAGGCTGGGTCCCCTCGAGACCACAAAGATTTGCAGTAGTAGTCTCCTAATTTTCCCCTAAGGCCGGCAGCATTTCCAAGGAGCAACTGTGCACTGGGAGAAGAGAAATAGTAGATATATCAAGGGCTGGTGGGTACACGGTCTGAGAGGCCCTTTGGAGTCCAGATAAGTGGAGTCCTTGGACTTCTTTTTCTCCCTGTCTACACTTGCTCCCTTGGCGATCACACCCTCTCCTACCTTTTTCTCTTCTCTTCTCTTTCTCTCTTTGTTTTCTGCCGAAGTCTCTCTCTGTTGCCCAGGCTGGAGTGCAGTGGGGCGATCTGGCTCCCTGCAATCTCCACCTCCTAGGTTCAAGTGATTTCCTGTCTCAGCTTTCCGAGTAGCTGAATTATAGGCATGCACTACCACACTCTCGGCTAATTTTTGTACGTAGTAGAGACGGGGTTTCACCAAGTTGGCCAGGCTGGTCTGTAACTCCTGACCTCAAGTGATCTGCCCCCCTCGGCCTCCCAAATTGCTGGGATTACAGGCATGAATCACCGCACCCGGCCCCTCTCATCACTTTCAGTAACCTATCCACAGCCAGTCCCAGGTGTATTGCTCCAGGCCTGACACCTCTGGTGTTCAGTCTGTTCAGTCTCATATCAAACTGCCCACCTGACATCTCCCCTGAGAGGCCTAATGGGTCTCACCATGGCCCACAGAGAACTGATCCACTGATTTCCCAAGTTGGCCTCTCTCCTGCAGCCCCCATCTCAGTCAATGGCAACACCATCCTCTTAGTTGCCCCGACTGAAAACCTAGCAGCCATCCTGTATTTCTCTCACAGTGCGTATTCAATGTGTGAATGCATGAGTAAAGCGAGTTTGCACTCGTGACTGGCCGGGGCTAACGCTACATTCCCTTCCACTTGGCGCGCTGATTGACTTGAGCTGAAGGCCAAACTGGCGGGCGGGGCCGAGCGGCGGGCCTGAGCCAGGGGGCGGGAGACAGACGCTACGGAACGCGCTCGCGCCGGCGCCGAACTACAACTCCCGGCGGCCCCTGCGCTCCCGGCGGCAAAGATGGTGGCGCGCAGGAGGAAGCGCGCGGCGCGGGACCCGGAGGATCGTATCCTCAGCCCACCGGGCTACGCAGGTGAGGGGGCTCGACCTGGGACGAGACTGGGGCGGCCAGGCATCGCCGGGAGGTGTTTGGGGGTTGGCGGCGGCCGGGGGTCCCTGGTGAGCGGCCGCACGGTTGGGTGTGTGCCCGGCGGCCTCTAGCCCCAGCCTCGGAATCCCGAGGACCCACGCGGCGCCCTTCTGCCTGCCCATTCTCGGGCCGAGCCTGTCTTGGTCCACGCTTCCCTGGATGAGCCTACCCTCTGTGCACCTCACCCAGGGCAAACCCATTTCCGTCCACACTCTCTGTCCAGGTGAGCTCATCCTCTCTTCTCATCGCCTCTGCTTCTAGTCCAGCTCCCATCAGCCTTACTGGGCTGTTACGGGCCCTCCTGCTTGGTTGCTCCTCCTCTTTCTCTCTTTCCCTGCTTCTGTCTTCTCCACCCACGTACCAGAATGTTCTTTTTAAGGTGATTTAAATTAGAGCATGTCTCACACGCCCACGATAGGCCCCACACTCCACTGCATTCCTCCAGTAGCTTTATCCACTCGTTTCTAAAACAAAAAGCAGACTTCTTAACCTGTGTGGGCCACATGGTCTGACTGGTGCTGACTCCAAAGCTCTTTCTGTTTCTCTGAGGCAACATGCTTTTTCCCTCTGGGTTTTTACACGTGTTGTGCCAGCTTGTTGCACAGTGGTTGGTCTGAGCTTTAATGTTGCTTTCTCAAAGAGGCCATCCCTGATAGCCTATGGAAAGAAGACTTCTGCCACCTTACGACCCTGTAATGTTTCTTTCATAATTGATACAAGCTTGCGGTATGCTTACTTGGTAATTGTCTTCTCCGTTATTGGTAACTGAGCTTCCTGGAGTTCAGGGACTACAGCTCTATACCAACCGGTAGTCTGACGGAGGTGTGAGGAAAAATAGAAGCAGTTCCCAGCTTTATGAGAGATTACAGTCATGGGTGTGCCAGCGATTAACCAAAGAATCTCATCAGTATAGCCTACAGACTGTTAAGAGAAGCTGTGGAAGGCACAGGCAGTGGATCTGACCTGGCAGGAGGGGGTGGAGGGTGATGCTAAGGCTCTCCTGAGGAAGCGCAGGTTTGAGCTAAACCCGAAGGTTAGCAGGAGGGAAGAGGTAGAGAGGCTACTGTGGTGTGAGGCCCTGTGTACCCAGGGAACAGGAGAATCCAAGGTGGTGGGGAAGATGGTACAAGAAGAGACCACAGTGGCAGGCAGGGTCTCACGGAGCTTCCTGCCACGGTTAGGATTTTGGTGTTCACTCCAAGAGCCGTTGGTTCGAGCTTCCTTTCATTGCGCCCCCATCTGTAATCATTGCTCATTTGTCTTCTCTCTCTGCACCACCTTGGGAGGCCCTCCTGGGCAGACTCTTAGAGCCCGCATTGCTTTGCCAAAGGGTAGGGTGGGGGAGTTGGTGAAGGGATGGATGGATCGATGAGCAGATAGGACTAGACAGGGATGCGGAGAAAGGAAGTTGTGTGAATGTCTTGCTGGCCTCAGCTCAGGGTAGCCTGGCCATCTCTCCTCCCATTTCCTTCTTTCCAGCTATTCCAACTGCCCTCTGAAAGCAGCAGGCTTCTCACTACCTCTATGTGAAAGCACATGGCGTTCGACAAGGCACCAAGTCCACCTGGCCTCAGAAGAGGACTCTTTTTGTCCTCAATGTGCCCCCATACTGCACAGAGGTGAGCTAGTGTCTGGGAGGGGACCTGTGGGCTCTAGGTGGGGGCTCCTCTAGCCTCTACCAAGTCCTTGGTGGTGAGATGGACACAGCTAATGGGAGCCCCAGAGGAGAGTGTCCAGAGGGCTACCTTGATCTCCAGTCAGGAAACTGGTTTTTTAAAGATGTTTTAAAAAGTATAATCCTGCCAGGCATGGGTGGCTCATGCCTGTAATCCCAGCACTTTGGGAGGCTGAGGCGGGTGGATCACCTGAAGTCAGGAGTTCGAGACGAACCTGGCCAACATGGTGAAACCCTGTCTCCACTAAAAACACAAAAAATTAGCCAGGCATGATGGCGTGCATGTAGTCTTGCCACTGGGAAGCTGAGGGATGAGAATCCCTTGAACCCGGGAGGCGGAGGTTGCAGTGAGTCGAGATTGCGCCACTGCACTCCAGTCTAGGTGACAGAGTGAGACTCCATCTCAAAAAAAAAACCCAAAACCCCAAAATTAGCCGGACATGGTGGCACATGCCTGTAATCTCAACTACTTGGGACTGAGGCATGCTAGAACTGCTTGAACCTTGTAGGCGGAGGTTGCAGTGAGCCAAGATCGCGCCACTGCACTCAAGCCTGGGCACAGTGAGACTCTGACTCAAACTAAAAAAAGGAAAAAGTGTAATCCCAAGTAGCCCAAGGCTTTTTTTACGATACCTAAAGTTGTTTGAATTACGTGTTTTCTTTGAGATTATATGTGTCCATAATTTGAAAGTAGGAAAGTATAATGAAAAGTGCCTCTAATTTTATCCAAACACAACTGTTATTTATTTATTTTTTTAACAAAAACTAAACTAAGGGAATTGCTGGAATTTTTTTTTTTTTTTTTTTTTTTGAGACGGAGTCTTCCTCTGTTGCTCAGGCTAGAGCACAGCGATCATGGCTCACTGTGACTTCCACTTCCCAGGTTCAAGCAATTGTCCTGCCGCAGCCTCCCTAGCAGCTGGAATTACAGGCGCCCACCATCATGCCCAGCTAAGTTTTGTATTTTTAGTATACACAAGGTTTCACCATGTTGACCAGGCTGGTCTTGAACTCCTGACCTGAGGTAATCCAACCCCCTCAGCCTCCCAAAGTGCTGGGATTACATACGTGAGCCACCGCCCTGGCCAAGGGAATTCCTGGATTGCCTTTCAAAGAAACCCTAATTTCTAAAACATTCCTCTAAACTTAGAGAAAAAAAGCAGCATGTAGAAGAGGGAGTGTGAGTTCTGACTCTTGAAGTGCAGCATGGTACAGGGAAGGGGTTCTAGTGGCAGGTGTCCAGCTTGCTGCATCCCAGAGACAGAACATACCTGTGTAGTCAGCACCCAGGTGGAGACACAGCAGCACATCCCAGAACCCCTGCTGTCTCCTCCACTCCATAACCACTGTCCTGACTGGCTACAGAAGATAGGGTCACCACTGCTGATTCAGACAGACAACCTCCATCCTGACTGTCACAGCATAGGGTCACCACTGCTGATTCAGACAGACAACCTCCATCCTGACTGTCACAGCATAGGGTCACCACTGCTGATTCAGGTAGTAAAATTTGTCATAGAAAATCAGAATAACAGCAAGAATGTCCCCACCTGTCTCCAATGAGAGACAGCGGGACATGCGGGCACGCTGGGCTCATGCCTGTAATCCCAGCATTTTGGGAGGCCGAGGCGGGCGGATCACCTGAGGTCAGGAGTTCAAGACCAGCCTGGCCAACATGGCAAACCCCGTCTCTCTATTCAAATATGCACTAGCCGGGTGGGTGGTGGTGGGGCGCCTGTAATCCCAGCTACTGGGGGGACTGGCACGAGAATCACTTGAAACCCGGAGGTGGAGGTTGCCGTGAGCCGAGATCACGCTATAGGACTCCAGCCTGGGCTACAGAGCAGTGCTCCAACTCAAAAAAAATAAATAAATAAAAAGAGAAAGAGCAGGAATATTGACTTCATATTATCCCTGCAGAACAGGTCGGAGGCTGTGGCGCCACAGGCTCCCAGCTTGGGCAGATGTGGCTGTGGTTCTTGAGTTCTTCAGAGGCGCTGACCCTTTCGGGCAGTGCCACCCATGGTAGAGGGAGGCTTTCGGATGCCCCTGCAGATGCTCACACTTGACTTCCTCTCCTGCGGCAGGAGAGCCTGTCTCGCCTCCTGTCCTCCTGGCAGGCTTCGCCCAGTCTGTAGAGTTGCAGGAGAAGCCGGACCTGGCCGAGAGCCCAAAGGAGTCAAGGTCGTGTTTATCCTGCCGGCTCCGGTGAGCCGCCAAGCACAGGGTCTCCACCAGAGTGAGGGGGTGGGGCATTGTGCCCAGTGCTGGGGGAGCTGGGCACTGGGACGTCAGAGCATTCTCTCTGGTCCTGAGCCCATCCTCACCGTGGTAGGAGGCTGTCCAGGTGACAAAGCCTGCACCTTCCCAGATTTGCCACATCCTTTGAACTTTTGCCTCGCTTGTCGTACAATGCTCAGGGACCATTCTGCTGGGCGCCCAGGCCCCGGCTGCCCTCCTGCTTTCCCCGCTGAGGAGCTCCTTCCCGCTTAGGGCCGGGTCTCCAGGAGCACTGTTCTCATGGCTTTCCCAGTGGGCCCTGGAGCCTACACCTCCTCCCCACACAGTGGCATCTGGCATGGTGTGCGTGTGCCCAGCCTGGCTTCCAAAACCTGCCCTGGCCCAGGGCTTACTTCTGGCGTAGTCACAGCAGCATCCCTCCTGTGACTGGAAGAAGGGCAGCCTGTGTGTCCCTCTTCCTGAGGAAGAGCCGGGAACAGCTAAGTCACTTCCGCAGAAGCAGGATCACTGGAAGTGGCTGCCTCGACCCAAGCAGTGGGATGGCCTCTGGTTCTCTCCATGGCTCAGGAATAGCCTAGCACTGTCTCCTGGGTGCAGCCACCGCTAGGGCTGAGGGCGGGCCTGGCACCTGCACAGACATGCGGAGGCGCCCCAAGCCTCTGACATCTATCTCTCTTCAGGGTTCCAGGTAGCCTATGTGGTGTTCCAGAAGCCAAGTGGGGTGTCAGCGGCCTTGGCCCTGAAGGGCCCCCTGCTGGTGTCCACAGAGAGCCACCCTGTGAAGAGTGGCATTCAAGCAGTTAGTACCGCGGGGTGACTGCACCCCTTTCTGGGCTCTGGGGCTGGCAGACACTCTGTGGGGACAGTGTTTGAATGTCACCAGCCAAGTCCATGAGCCCCTGGAGAGTGGCGTGGTGGAGGCCTGGGCAGGAGGACTGCTGGGCTGTGTCTGGGTCCCCAGGGGAGTCGTTAGCCCGAGCTCCTGGCACAGAGCGGCACACAGGCATACTGGGCAGGCAGAGCAGGGCCCAGCTTGCAGCTCCTGGGGCTTTTAGCACCTGCGCCCTGGCCCCGGCCCTGTGGGAAAAGGTTCCACACCTGGCAGGCTCCTGGGGTGGGGCCCAAATGCCAGGCCTGAGGTGAAGCCCGCTTCCTGCCTCTTCTCAGGAGTGGATCAGTGATCACGCAGACTCCATACCTGACCCCTGGAGGCCCTGAGGATGGAAGTGGACACGTCTATGGGAGGCGAGACCAGAAGATCGCTGAGGTAGAGGCTCCGCAGGGTCGGGCCGAGCACCGCATCGCCCGTGGCTGTGGGAAGGTGACGCCCAGAGGGAGGGCGGTGCAGCCTGTCCTTAGCCACTTGCAGAGGCCAGGCTCCTTTTCCTGCTGATCCTGGGTGCCTGGCTGGGTGACATCTAGTCTCCTGTTGGCTGGTCTATAGTGAGAAGGAGGCAGCCGCAGGTCCGTCGTGCCTCCCGGCCATCCTGAGCCCCAACACCATGCTGGGAGAGGAGCAGCTGGCCCCTGGGGGCAGGGCTCAGGCGGTTCTGACTTTGGGAGGAGGGCGTGTGGAGGATGGGCTGGAGACTGCAGGATGTCCCAGGCGCCGACCGGACTACGGGACTGCCTTCCTTGAAGTGGTGCTAAAGCTAAGGCCAAGAGGAGAGGGGGTCCTGACGAGGAGGGCTGGGTGAAGGTGACTCGCCGGGCCGCGGCCCGTGCTCCTCGGACTGAAGCGTTTCAGCCGCTGCGGGTGCTGGAGAGGAGACGGAAGGGCTACCCGAAAGGAGCTGCTCAACTTCTATGCCTGGCAGCACCGGAGAGCAAGATGAGCGTAAGCCACGCCCAGCCCGTCCTCAGGCCTCGGCCTTGGCCCCAGCCTTGGATGAGGCCCTCTGGCCAGGCTCCTGGGATGGCGGGCTCTGAACCTGGTGGTCACAGAGGAGTGGCGTCTCTTAAGCACAGGGCTCCCACCAGGCTCTGGAAAGAGGCCCAGCCTGGCAGCACCTGTGTGGCGGTCCCCCATCACCCCCGGGGCAGATGTGATTTGCTCAATGGGTGGGACCCTGGGTCATCAGTGCCCACCTCTGGGCTCCTGTGCACTTAGTGCTGACAGCCAGCCTCAGCCAGCAAGGAGTTCGAGGCAGAAGGGGGCCTCCGAACCCACTGTGGGTGCAGGGAGGGTGCTGCAGAGTATGTGTGTTGGAGTGGTGGTGGTGGTGTGTGTGTCTCTGTATGTGCTGTGTATCAGGTGGCCCTGCACAGCGCCTGTGTGTGGGTGTACAGGTATGTGGTGATGTGGGTGTGTGGTGGTGTGTGTGGGTGTGTAGGTGTGTGGTGGTGGGTGTGTGGGTGTGGTGTGGGTGTGGTAGTGTGTGCGGGTGTGTGGTGTGGGCGGGTGTGTGGTGGTGTGCGGGTGTGTGGTGTGCAGGTGTGTTGGGTGTGCGGGTGTGTCGTGTGTGCAGTGTGGGTGTGCGGGTATATGCAGCATGTGCAGGTGTGATGTGGGTGTGGTAGTGCATGGGTGTGGTGGTGGTGTGCGTGGTGGTGTGGGTGTGGGTGTGTGGGTGTATGGTGGTGTGTGTAGGTGTGCAGGTGTGTGTGCGGTTGTGTGTGGTATGCGGGGTGTGTGTGTGGTGTGGGTCAGGTGGCCTGCACAGGACCCTCTCCTGGCTGTGCACCTGATCACCCAGACCCACTCCTGGTGCTGCGGCTGAGCCTCCTGTCCCACTGCCTGGGGTCCCTGTCTACAGGACAGCTTCCCTGTGGGCCCAGGAGAGGAGTCTCCTTGCCCTGCCTAGGGCACAGGGAGGGGCTCTGCAGCAGGCCCTGAGCCATTCGCCCAGTCACTGGTGCTTTCCCTGCCTCGCTGGCCCTCTTGGCTCCCACTTGTGCTCGCCTAGACCCCTCAGCTTCCCCTCCATGCCATCAGCCTGCCACTGACCTGGCCACCCGGCACCAGAGTTACCATCGCCATTCACCAGCACTAGGGTGGGGCCTTTACTGAGTCTCAGGGTCGCCTCCAGGCCGAGTCAGGACTCTTCCTTCCTTGCGCAGGGGTCGGGGTGGGGGCGGATGCCTTTGCTTTGCTTCATCTCCACGCTGGGTGCATCTCCCACTTTGGCCTTGACCTTGACTTGGTCAGCCTGCCGGCCGGGTTGTTTCCTTCCAGATCCAGACCCTGCCCCCAAAGCAGAGCTGGGAAGGGCTGGGCTGGTGAGCACATGCCCCCGCGCCCCACAATAACTGAGGAGGTGGGGCATGAGCAAGTCGGCTGTCCTGGGGGGGCGTGCTGGGTTCGACTCCTTGCCTCCCGCGCCTCCTCTCGCCTCAGATCTAGCGCAGCTGGGCAAGGTCAGAGGATAAGCAGGAGGATTGAGCTGCTGCGGGCCCAGCGCAAATTCCGACTCCTACTGAGCTGCGAGAGCCGCAGGGGATGGCTGGAGGTGCGGCCTGAGGAACATGAGACAGGCAGGCTCGCAGCCATCTCCGAGAGGCCGAGGCCTGGGAAACGGGCTCCCAGGTTGAGGCCACCCTGGCCCAGCAGCCCCATGAGGGTCCACACAGGCCAGGAGTGAAGGACCAGGCCACCCCTCGGGTCTTGGGCTTCAGCAGTCCTGGGCACCTGTCCCTTCCTGGGTGTGCCCAGAGGAGGACTTGTCCCTTCCGCCTCCTGCCTCCACACCCTCCTGTCAAGGACTGCATGAATCCGCTCTGTTTTCTACTCTTTCCCTCAATGGAAAGCCCTTGATGGTAACGGTAAACAAGAAGCCTCAAAAGCAGTGAGAATGCGAGAAGCTTTTATTTTCCACTCCAGTTGGGCAGCAGGGGAAAGGCCAGGAGGCCCCCAGCCCGCCCTTCCTTCCTCCAGCTGGCTGGAGGTTATTAGCCAGAGACAGCAGCCCTCCGAACCCAGACTCTGTCTCCTCTTGAGGTCACAGATGTTGGAAGTTGAGTCTCACTCTTCCCCTGACTACACCCTAGGCTGGGCGTCACACCAGTGAGGCCTGTCCCCACACGCCTGGCCTTGTTGCGGGGCTCGGGAACTCACATTCCCAGTGTTGAGTCTGGCAGCACGAGGTCGTCGTGTCCAGAGCTACAGGTCCAGGCCCAGAGCTACAGCTAGGCTGTGAGCGTGTATTTGTGCTGTAAGAAGGAGCTGATGATACTGGCCACGTGCTGGGCTCCCGCCTATGACATAGTGATTGCCCGGGACTTCCACAAACTGGGACCGCTGGAGGAGTGGAGATAGTGTGTGGTGAGGTGGGCCAGAGGAGCCTAGGGAGCTCCTTAGTTCTTTTTGGGGTCAGGCCTCCCACAGCCTTCTGGCCTCTCTGCAGGGCAGGAGGGTCTTCATGGTGAGTTTCCCACACACACTACACCTTGGAGCCCAGTCAGTCCATGGCACCCCAGGAGGTGTGTAAGCCCTGGGACTTGGAGGCCTCCCAGCTGAGTTGCGGTTGCACGTCAGGGACAGGCGGCTGAGGCCAGGTTGCTGTGATTGTATTAGAGGAGGTCCAGTGAGAAAAAATAATCAGATGTTGGCATGAGCAGCCTGCAGATTTGTGCCTGCCTTCAAGAAGCCAGGGACGGAAGGCCCTGTCTGCCTTGGCTCTGACCAGGCAACCAGCCAGCCACAGGTAATGCTTTCTTCCTTTGTGACAACGCCAGGAAACCTGCAGAGGCCCCAGAGTCAGGTGTTTGTGGGTAGGTGACCATGAATCACCAGGTGCTCCGAGGAACCCGGGCACAGCCACCCCACTCACAGCCAGCACACCACTCGGCGCGATGGGTGCGGAGGGAAGAGGCAGCCAGGTGTTCTGCTGTGGTTTGGGAGCCTATAAAATGTGAGACTAGGCTGGGCATGGTGGCTCCTGTTCAAAAAGCAGCACTTCAGGAGGCCAAGTCGGGCAGATCGCCTGAGGTCAGGAGTTTGAGACCAGCCTGGCCAACATGGTGAAATCCCCGTCTCTACTAAAAAATATAAAAATTAGCTGGGCATGGTGGCAGGTGCCTGTAATCCCAGCTACTTAGGAGGCTGAGGCACGAGAGTCTCTTGAACCCGGGAGGCGTAGGTTATAGTGAGCCAAGATCTTGCCACTGCACTCCAGCCTGGGCAACAGAGTGAGACTCCATCTCAAAAAAAAAAAAAAAAAAAAAAAAGGCGGGGACTATTAGCTGGGCATGATGGTGTACCTGTAGTCCCAGCTACTCAGAAACTGAGGTGGAGGATCACTTGAGCCCTGGAGTTTGAGGCTACAGTGAGCTATGATTGAGCCACGGCACTCCAGCCTGAGCAACAGAATGAGACCCTGTCTCAAAAAATAAAATAAAAACTCTGGGACTGCCTCTAGCAGTTGGGTCACCTAATTGTGTCTGGCCCAGGAAGGAGGGTGGGTAATTGAGGATGATAAAAGAATCTCCTTACCTAAAGGTCTCTGTTTCCTGAATTCTGATGACATGTGTCCCCAGGCCTCTAGGGACTGACCACAGTGGAGCGTGAGGCCTGAGAGATCCTGGTGGTCACTTGTTGGACCTGGGGCCAGACCAGGGGTCTTCCCAGTGCACGAGAAGAGATGGGTGAGGTGGGACCAGAGTGGGTGAGCAGTGGCCGGACACCAGCTGCCTGAGCCCGCCTACCTCTTTTGAGGGTGGACTTCAGCGTGTGTATCATGAACGACAGGGACTCCTTGTCAGAGTAACTCTCTCTTCTCACATCAAAATATCCGTGGACTGCTCTGGAAAGTGAGGAGTTGGGGTTGTTGGGGTTCATCTTAGAACCGCCTCCCAGCACTGCCCCCATCCTGCCCTGGGTTCAGGCCTCTGAGGAGAAACCAAGCCTGGGCTACCCCACTCCCACAGCCGGTCCCTTGACCCTGGCTTGGATTTGAGGTTCAGTTAATTCAGCTCACACTCGGCTGGCACAAACAGTGCAAGCGCAGTGCTTAAGGTACAGCCTGCTGGGGCGCAGGGAGGTCAGACTTGGCCACAGTCACAGCCCTGAATAGCAGAGCTGATCTGAACAGGCTCTGGAGTCCACACTTGCTCTGGAGAGAATTTACATTCCATAACTTCCCATTGAAAGTCTACAATCCCGTGGTTTTTAAATGCGTTGAGTTGTGAGACACTATCGCCACAATTACAGAACATTTTCATCACTCCCGAATGAAGTCCTCGAACCTCTGCGCTTTCACACACGCCCCCGCCATACAGGCTTCCGGTCCTGAGCAACCATGAACTGGCTTGTCTCTGCAGTGTGTCCTTTGGACTTGAGCGTGAATGCACATACAACACGTAGATGGTTGGGTCTGACTTCATCTGCTTAGCGTGAAGGTTCATCCACACTGAGCCCATGTCCGCTTCGCTTTTATGGCTGAAAATTGTTCAGGTGGACCAGGCATGGTGGCTCATGCCCGTAATCCCAGCACTTTGGGAGGCCAGCGGGCAGATCATGGGGTCAGGAGATGGAGATCAGTCTGGCTAACATGGTGAAACCGTCTACTAAAAAAATACAACAGTCAGTCAGGTGTGGTGGTGGGCACCTGTAGTCCCAGCTACTCGGGAGGCTGAGGCAGGACAATCGCCTGAATCCAGGAGGCAGAGGTTGCAGTGAGCCGAGATTGTGCTCACTGGTCATGGAGCCTTACTCTCAGCATGCTCGCTGACACCTGTGGAAAGGTGTGGACGGCCCTGGCCCATCCCCGCTGCCTGAGCCCTTCCTCCTCTGACCTTCCTCCTTCCATGACCCCAAGGCCAGGGGGCTTCCCGAAAAGATCTTGAGCCTCAGCGGTGTGGTCAACACAGAGAACTTGGAGCCTCATGCCACGGCTCCCTCCCGGAGATCCCTGGCGCCCATGTGTCTTTTGGGGGTGACTGAAGCACACTTGGTCCAGACTCACTTGATGAACAGGACGTGGGCCTGCAGCTTCCTGATGGAATGCGCATACAGCTCCCTGCTGACTAAGTCAACACTGTTCTCAGGCTGCAAAGATAAAAGCATGGTGAATCTCCACTCCTGGATCGGAGCTCAGGACTCCCACCACATCACCGCTCATCAAAGGCTCTTAGCCCTGGTGGCCAGAGACTCCTGCCCTCTCCAAGTCTGTTCTCCACTTTTCCTGGGTTCGTGGCTACCCAGCCTGACTCCATTTCCCATACTCCTTTGCCACTGGGTATGGCTGTGTGATTAAAGGCAGAGAAGTGACTTGGGCCACTTCTGGGCCTGGATTTTAGGATTGAGGCATGGCCCTTCCACACCCCTTTCCCAGTCCATAGGCTGCACCTCACGCTGTCCCCTGCCAGCCTGGGACAGGCTTCTTGCCAGGAGGAAGAAACTTGCTGGGACCACAGTGCAGGATGGGCACTCCATCATGGCTCCCTGCCGCCTCCTCCACAACCCTGCCTGCCCTGTCTTGTGACAGTTTCCACGCCTGGATGGCGGGCTGTGGCCAGCTCCAGTGAGATGTGTGCTGTAGTGACACAAAGTTGGATTTGAAAACTTAGCATGCAAAATAATGCAGTCAAGTTTTATGTTGATTACATCTGAGATAACATTGTATGTTAAATAAAATATGAGAACAATTGATAGAGTTTTTTTTTTTTTTTTTTTTTTTTGAGACGGAGTCTCGCTCTGCCGCTCAGGCTGGAGTGCAGTGGTGGTCTCAGCTCACTGTGACTTCCGCTCTTCCGGGTCTGCGAAGCCTCCTGCCTCAGCCTCCAAGTAGCTGCAATTACAGTCATGTACCACCACGCCTGGCTAATTTTGTATTTTTAGACAGGGTTTCACCATGTCGATCAGGCTGGTCTTGAACTCCCGATCTCAGGTGATCTGCCCACCTCAGCCTCCCAAAGTGCTGGGATTGCAGGCGTGGCTCACTGCGCCCGGCCTTGGGCTTGTTTTAATATAGCTGCTAGACAATGTCAAGTTCCACGAGGCTCACACTCTGCTTCCATTGGACTGTGCTGCTCTGATCTGGGGACTCTAAGGGCAGGAGCTCTCAGCATTTTCTCTATTCCTAGTTCTCAGCACACAGAGCGCAGAGGAGAAGCTTCATAAATGCATGCTCAGTGGATTAATTCCAGAAGCTCCCATAAGGACTATTCCATGAAATCACAATTCGATACTTCCACTTCAGCATCATAATATAAAATTGCTATGGCCATGAACACACATCACTACAGGAAAACTCACTGCCTTGTCTTCCACCCTGCCCTCCAGCTATTTTCTGCTTCTCAGACCAAAATGACCTGAGGTGCCTTCCCTGAAACAGGGTTCTCACACTGTCCTCAAGTCCTGCGTGCCTCACATGGCAGCTGCCATCTCACAGTGGGTGTGACCAAGCCTTTCGGGCCTGCACACAGGAGGGGCTTCCTGGGCACAAGAGGAACAGGCAAACTTGAATCTGTCTCTACTAAAAATACAAAAATTAAGCTGGGCGCAGTGGCTAATGCCTGTAATCCCAGCGCTTTGGGGAGCGAGGCAGGCAGATCGCTTGAGGTCAGAAGATCGAGACCAGCCTGGCAAATGTGGTGAAACGCCATCTCTACTAAAATCCAAAAATTAGCTGGGCATGGTGTTAGGCACCTGTAATCCCAGCTACTCAGGAGGCTGAGACAGGAGAATTGCTTGAACCCCGGAGGCAGAAGTTGCAGTGAGCCAAACTTGGGCCACTGCACCCCAGCCTGGATGACAGAGTAAGACTTGGTCTCTAAATAAATAAATAAATAAACAGAATGTGGGTGCTGGTTTCAGCAGCACATATACTGCCAAATTGGAAACAATACAGAGAAGATTAGCGAGGCCCTGTGCCAAGCATGATGTGAAAATTTGTGGAAATGTTCCTTTACAAAAAAATTTTAAAAATTCGGATCACCTGAGGTCAGAGTTCCAACCAGCCTGTCCAACATGGCGAAACCTCTGTCTCTACTAAAATACACAAAAAATTATCAGGCATGGCGTAGGGCGCCTGTAATCTCAGCTACACGAGAGACTGAGGAAGGAGAATCATTAGATTCTAGCGAGCTGAGATCACGCCATTGCACTCCAGCCTGGGCGACAAGAGCAAGACTCTGTATCGATGATAATAATAATAATAAAATTAAAGAAAAATAGAACTTTTAAAACATGAAAAAAAGAAAAGAAAAATGAATCACTACCTCACACCATGCTCAAGAACAAATCCCACATGGATCAAAGACAAACACATTAACATTCCCAGACCATTGGCTGACACTCTGGTCCAAGTTTCGCCCCTTGGCCTGGGCCTGGGAGCAGCTCAGCGGTCTCCTGCAGTTAGAGCTTCCCCACCTCTAATGACAGTCTCACACGTGTCCAGTGCTCTACCATTTTTGAAGAATCACAAAAATAGCACAGGCTACAGTACCTGAAGCGACAGCAGTGTGCTAGGCCACTCAACATGACTTACCCAGTCTCGACAACAACCCCTTCAAAGGCAGGCCCAGGGCGTGGCTCTCAGCTATTGCTCAGAAACCAGCTGAATGAATGAAAGCACTTTCTTTCTGCACATGAGACAACCACAAGCTCAGAGAGGGTAAGCACCTTGCCCAAGGTCACACAGCCTCCCAGTGGCAGAGATGGCCAAGTTTCTATTAACACAAGTGTTCCAGTGACACACTTCCAGGCTCTGTAGATGGGACGCTGTTTTTTGAGAACTTTGTCATCCTGCCCCCCTCCCTCTTCACAGCCTCTATCAGAATCCCGCTCTCAACTGATGCACCGAGTTGACTTCAGCTTTTCTCCTGTGCAGTGGCCATACAGTGCTCAGAATCTCTCTCCCCTCTCCCCACCCCACTGACTCTATTTAATGCCACTGAAGCACAATTTAATGCTTACATTGACAGTTATTATGTATTGGTGTTATCTATGTAATTTTCTTTTTTTTTTCTTTTTTCTTTTTTTTTTGAGATGGAGTCTCGCTTTGTTGCCCAGGCTGCAGTGCAGTGGTGCAATCTCTGCTCACTGCACCTCTGCCTCCCATTCAAGCGATTCTCCTGCCTCAGCCTCCCAAGTAGGTGGGATTACAGGCGTGTGCCACCACGCCTAGCTAATTTTGTTGTTGTTGTTATTTTTGTATTTTTAGTAAAGAAGGGGTTTCACCATGTTGACCAGGCTAGTCTCAAACTCCTGACCTCAGGTGATCCACCTACCTCAGTGTCCCACAGTGCTGGGATTACAGGCGTGAGTCGCCACGCTCAGCCTGTAATTTTCAAAAACAACAAAAATGCTAACAGTCAAACTGTGCGGGGGACGAGACGCAGCGGTATCACTCCAGAGACCTCTGGTCTCTGTTCAGAACCAGACCTGGAGGCTGGAAGCACCAAACAGCGTGCCAATGCTGTCTGTCAGGCTCAGGGGACACTCCATGACTTTGCTGGGACTCCCGTGCCTTTTCCAGCCAGGGCTCATTTCTCCCACCTGCCCCCGACGTCCTAGCTGCCCAGGCTCAACCACGCCCACCTGACCACACGGACCTGTCAGCCCACATGGGCTCCCCTCACCGACCACCCCAAAGGGCCAGTGCAAAAATGAGGGCAGGAGCTAGGCTGACAGCCAGGTGATGGTGGACCTCTTGTCTCTGAGAAACTCATTCATAGAAAAAGCAACAGTAACAACACACTGCTTGTTGAGAAGACACTGAATGAAAAAAGAAACATGAGCAGAGTTGCGAGGCCTGGGTGGTGACCAGCTTTAGCTTCGAGCTGATTCTGTCTCTCTGCCCCATCCCGATGGTGGCCAACAACGCTGCCTCAACTGTAGGAGCTGAACACCGGCAGTTCCTTCCCGAGGAATGTCCCTCAAGAACGCCTGCATGGGAGTGTCCAGAAAGGGCAGAGGGTCCCCTGTGGCCCTGGGGGTAATCGCAGGCTGGAAGCTGCCGGCGGTCGGAAGGATGGAGACGGAACTGAGGTGTTTGTACGGAACCCGGCCCAGCAGGACACAGGGGAACTAGAGCTGCAGGTGTCCAGATGGTGGAGTGGTGGGCCGCCTCCCTGTATAAATCTTTCAAATACCTGCATGGCCAGGCCTCCCCACCACCCCCTTCTATTTTTTCTCCATGGCACTTTCTCTTTTTGAGACAGCTGCTCCCCTCTGTCGCTCAGGTTAAGTGCAGTGGTGTGATCTCGGCTCCCTGCAACCTCCGCCTCTCGGGTTCAAGCAATTCTCCTGCCTCAAACTCAGAGTGGCTGGTACTACAGGCGCCCGCCACCACACCAGCTAATTTTTTGTATTTTTAGTAGAGACGGGGTTTTGCCATGTTGGCCAGGCTGGTCTCAAACTCCTGAGCTCAAATGATCTGTCCACCTCCTGAAGTGCTGGGATTGCAGGTGTGAGTTATCACGCCCAGCTCCCCATAGCACTTTCTAAGGTACTTCATCCTTTGCCTATTGACTGCTTCTCTTCTTTGCTAGAGTTCAGCTTCCACAAGGACAAACAGTTTGGTTTGTTCACAGCTGTGGCCCCTGTGACCAAGAACTGTGCCTGCTACAGGAGGGGCTCCCAAAGTGCTTGCTGAATGAATAGACAGGTGTTTACCTCTGGGTGGGGTCCAGGAGGGGCTGGAGAGGTTCAAAGTGAACGTGGTGCTGTGCCATTGTTTTAGCTGTGTGATAGGTGCACAGGTTATTACTGTTATTAACATTATTATTTTATTATTTAAACATACATATATGAGCTAAGCACTGTGTTTTGCGCCTATAATCCCAGCATTCTGGGAGGCCGAGGCGGGTGGATCACTTGAAGCCAGGAGTTTGAGACCAGCCTGGCCAACATGGTGAAACGCCATCCCTACTAAAAGTACAAAAAAATTAGCCAGGTGTCATGGTGGGCACCTGTAGTCCCAGCTACTCGGGAGGCTAAGGAATGAGGAATGGCCTGAACCAGGGAGGCAGAGGTTGTGGCGGTAGTTGAGATGGTGCCACTGCACTCCAGCCTGGGTGACAGAGCAAGACTCTGTCTCAAAAAATTAAACAAATAAAAACCACTAAACTATACATATGATACACCAACAAGATTTGTATGGGGCTTAAACCACCTGATTTTAAAGTTCACGTGGAAAAATTACATCAGGTGAAGAATAGCAGGAGGTCAGGCACCTGTGGTAATTCCAACACTTTGGGGAGGTCATGGGAGGATCGCTTGAGACCAGCCTGGGTACGGAGCAAGACCTCATCTCTACACAGAAAGCTGAAAGATTAGCGGAGCATAGTGGCACACGCCTGTAGTCCCAGCTACTGGGAAGACTGAAGTGGGAGGGTTGAGCCAAGGAGGCAGAGGCTGCAGTGAGCCGAGATCCTGCCACTGAAATCCAGCCTGGGCAACAGAGCAAGACCTCGGTCTCAAAAAGGAAAAGAAAAAAAGACTAGGTAGAAAATCTCTGTAAAAGAGCCATGAAGGGAGACGGTCCTGTCAGATATAAAATTCAGGCTAGGCAGACAGTGGCTCACGCCTGTAATCCCAGACTTTTGGGAGGCCAAGGCAGGTGGATCACCTGAGGTCGGGAGTTCGCCACCAGCCTGGCCAACATGGCGAAACCCCATCTCTACTAAAAATACAAAATTAGCCGGGCATGGTGGCGGACATCAAATCTCAGCACTTTGGGAGGCCGAGCAGGCAGATCATTTGTGTCAGGAGATCGAGACCATCTCAGCACAGTGGAAATCCCCATCTCTACTAAAAATACAAAAAATTAGCTTGGAATTTGTAGTTGAACAACTGGAAATTCTGGCCACGAGACTGAATTCCCACTGATTAGCACTGGCCCAGCCATGTACAGGGGTGGGGCTGACTCCAGCTCCAAAGTCCCTACACATCCCATAGCCTCCTCCCAGCCGGCATGGTAGACTCCACAACACGCCCACCTCGCCCCCAGGAGTTTCTGAGCTCGCATCACTCAGCACTTTATAAAGGGAAGGCACATGCCCACCTCGCCTGATCCGATGAGCGCAAAACTCAAGACCTTGTTTGTCACCTGAGCACACAAGGGAGTTTAAAAGGAAAGGACTGTCCCAGGTTCACTCAGCTGCCGTGGCCAGGAAGCCACGCTGTTTCGCCAGCTCAGCACATTCTCCATCCCACGACAGCATCTCCTCCAGCTGTCTCACCCCCTGGGAGAGCTGTCAGCCTGACCACCCTCTGGAGCAGGCTCCCGCCGCGAGTCTCTTCCAGAGCGTGTGTATTTCCTCAAGCATCCAGAGAATGTCTAACCGCTCATGTACCTATTGACCTGTGTTTATCCTCTGCTTTCCAAGAATCTAGGCTCTGCCCGGATTCCTCTGCTCAACTCCAGGTGCCCTTTATGAGCGGGCACCTGGAGTTGTGATGCTGAGGCCCTCGCCCCACTGAGAGAGGGACGGGTTTTGCTCACTGCAGCCTCACTGAGCCGGGCCTGTAGTGCACTCCAGAAAAGATTTCCTGGGCAGGCACAGTGGCTCACACCCGTAGTCCCAGCTACTGAGGAGGCTGAGGTGGGACACGTCTGAGCTCCGGGAGGTGGAGGCTGCAGTGAGCCATGATGGTGCCACCGCACTCCAGCCCACGTGACAGAGTGAGACCTTGTCTCAAAAAGAAAAAAGAAACGAAAGAAAAAAATTCCTGGATAAAATGCAAAGTACAGAATTGCTTGTGCCAGAAGCTGCTTGAAGGCAAGAGACACCAGCTCCACCTCACCATTGTGAAAGCCTCTCCTGGTCACTCAGCCCCTGGGACGCCCTCTCTCACAGCCCGCCCCTGGGGCTGGGCACTCCACTCCCAGGTCCAGCAGAGCATGGCCACAACATTCACCAACATTTAGTCCAAGACACCTGACCAAACTCTCCCAGAGTGTGGCTTTCTGGGATGTGCAGTAGCTGTATGGCCTCGCCCGGGTCACATTGGGCAACACTGAATCTCAGTTTCTCCTGCTGTAAATGGGATGAGGGTGAGGCAGGAGGGGGATTCAGTGAGATGCTGTTTGCAAAGTGCTTAGTATCTTGCCTAGTCTAGGGCAAGTCCTTGATATCCTCAGTAAGTAACAGTGACAAATATACAAACGGCCTTGGACAGTGAAGTCCTTACCTGTGGCTGCCTTTGTGGTTCCTCTTTGCAAGAGGAGCTCCCCGCACTCCTCATTCAAGTGGCTATTGCTCTTCAGTGACCTGGGGGAGACAGAAGGCTGCTGGGTGCCTGGAGGCCAATAAAGAGGAGGTCAGAGGACATCAGATGAAAAGGAGAGGAGGGCCAGGGATGGTGGCTCATGCCTGTAATCCCAGCACTTTGGGAGGCTGAGACGGGCGGATCACCTGAGGTCAGGAGTTCGAGACCAGCCTGGCCTACATGGTAAAACCCCATCTCTACTAAAAATATAAAACTTAGCTAGACATGGTGGTGTGTGCCTATAATTCCAGCTACTTGGGAGGCTGAGGTATGAGAATCACTTGAACCCAGAAGGCAGAGGTTACAGTGAGCTGAGATTGTGGCACTGCACTCCAGCTTGGGGAAGAGAGCGAGATTTGGTCTCCAAAAAAAAAAAAAAAAAAAAAAAAGGAGAGAAGAGCAGCGAAAGGGAGGAAAGGGAGGTCACCCACAAAGGGTGTATATGTCCCATGTTTTTTTTTTTAAAGACAGAGTCTCACTCTGTCGCCCAGTGTGGAGTACCATGGTGTGATTCGGCTCACTGGTAAGCCCACTCTCCCGGGTTCACGCGCATTTTCCGCCCAGCCTCCTGAGTAGCTGGGACTACAGGTGCCCACCACCATGCCCAGCTAATTTTTGTATTTTTAGTAGAGACAGGGTTTCACCGTGTCAGCCAGAATGGTCTCGATCTCCTGACCTCGTGGTCTGCCTGCATCAGCCTCCCAAAGTGGTGGGATTACAGGCATGAGCCATCGCACCCAGCTCCTTGCTTTTTTTAATTGAGACAGGGTAACACTGTCACCCAGGCTGGGGTACAGTGACATGATCATGGTTTCTCAGCCTCGACCTCCTGGAGATAAGCAATCCTCCCAACTAAGGCTGCTCAGTAGCTGGGACTACAGGCATGTGCCACCGTGACCAGCTAATTTTTCTGTTTTTTTTTTTTTTTTTTTTTTTTTTTTTTTTTTGATACAGGGTCTCGCTATGTTGCTAACGCTGGTCTCTACTCCTGGGCTCAAGCTGTCTTCCACCTCAGCTTCCCAGTGTACTGAGATTATGGTGTGAGCCACTGCGCCTGGACTGTGTCCCGTGTTTCAATGGCATGTTTACAGCGGCAGGGTGTGTGTGTGCGTGCGTGTGGTGGGGCAGTGGGGGGCAGGGTGTGTGTGCGTGCGTGCGTGTGGTGGGGCAGTGGGGGGTGGGGTGTGTGGCTGGCGTGGCGTGTGGTGGGGCAGTGTGGGGTAGGTGTGTGTGTGCGTGCGCGCGTGTGGTGGGGCAGTGGGGGCAGGGTGTGTGTGTGCGTGCGCAAGGTGGTGGGGCAGTGGGGGGCAGGGTGTGTGTGTGCGTGCGTGCGTGTGGTGGGGCAGTGGGGGGCAGGGTGTGTGTGCGTGCGTGCGTGTGGTGGGGCAGTGGGGGCAGGGGTGTGTGTGTGCGTGCGTGCGTGTGGTGGGGCAGTGGGGGCAGGGTGTGGGGCGCGCGTGCGTGTGGTGGGGCAGTGGGGGGCAGGGTGTGTGTGCGTGCGTGGGCGTGGTGTGGTGGGGCAGTGGGGGGCAGGGTGTGTGTGCGCGCGTGCGTGTGGTGGGGCAGTGGGGGGGCAGGGTGTGTGTGTGCGCGTCGCGGCGTGTGGTGGGGCAGTGGGGGGCAGGGGTGTGTATGTGTGTGCGTGGCGTGTGGTGGGGCAGTGGGGGGCAGGGTGTGGCGTGTGTGTGCGTAAGTGCAGGTGGTGGGGCAGTGGGGGGCAGGTGTGTATGTGTGTGCGTGCGTGTGTGGGGCAGTGGGGGGCAGGGTGTGTATGTGTGTGCGCAAGGTGGGGCAGTGGGGGGCAGGGTGTGTGTGTGCCTGTGGTGGGGCAGTGGGTTTTTTTTTTTTTTTTTTTTTTTTTTTTTTTTGTATTTTTAGTAGAGAAGGGGTTTCACCATGTTGGCCAGGCTAGTCTCAAACTCCTGACGTCAGGTGATCCACCCGCCTCAGCCTTCCAAAGTGAGCCACCATGCCCAGCGTGTAATTTTCAAAAACGATAAAGATGCTACTAAGCAAACCGTGGCAGGGGGGACGCAGAGTCAGCGGTACTCACCCAGGATAGCCTCTGGTCTCTGTTCAGAACCAGACCTGGAGGCAGAAGCACAAAGACAGCAGTGTCAATGCTGTCCGTCAGGCTCAGGGGACGCTCTGTGAGTTTGCTGGAACCCCCCAGGCCTTTCCAGCCAGTGCCCATGTCTCCCATCTGCCCCCTACATCCTCAGCTGCCCAGGACTCCCTGTCCTGGGGTCCAGCTGGACCAGGGCTCGACCACGGCCGCCTGACCACGGACCTGTCAGCCCACAAAGGGCCGGTGCAAAATGAGAGCAGGAGCTTAGGCTGACAGCCAGGTGGATGGTGGACCTCTCGTCCCTGAGAAACTCCTTCATAGGAAAAAGCAAATAAGTACCAATCGTGTCATCGTTTGTTGAGAAGACATAGAAAAAAGAAATATGAGCGGAGTTGCGAGGCCTGGGTGGTGACCAGCTTCAGCTTCGGGTGCCGACTTGGTTCTCTGCCCCCATCCCGATGGTGGCCAACAACTCGGCCTCAACTGTAGGCTGAACACCCGGCAGTTCCTTCCTGAGCAATGTCCCCTCAAGAACGGCCTGCATGGGAGTGTCCAGAAAGGGCAGAGGGTCCTGTGGCCCTGGGGGTAATCGCAAGCTAGAAGCTGCCGGCGGTCGGAAGGGATGGAGACGTGAACTGAGGGGTGTTTGTACGGAACCCGTCCAGCAGGACACACGGGGACTAGAGCTGCAGGTGTCCACAGGGATAAGAGGCAGGGCTGTTCCCTCCCCCATATAAATCTTTCTCAAATACCTGCATGGCCAGGCCTCCCCACCACCCCTTCTTATTTTTCTCCATGGCACTTTCTCTCTTTTGAGACAGAGTTCCCGTCTGTCGCCCAGGCTGGAGTGCAGTGGTGTGATCTCGGCTCCCTGCAACCTCCACCTCTCGGGTTCAAGCAATTCTCCTGCCCCAAACTCCAGTGTGGCTGGGACTACAGGCGCCCGCCACCACGCCCAGCTAATTTTGTATTTTTAGTAGAGACGGGGTTTTGCCATGTTGGCCAGGCTGGTCTCAAACTCCTGAGCTCAAATGATCTGTCTACTTCCTAAAGTGCTGGGATTACAGGTGTGAGCCATCACGCCCAGCCCCCATAGCACTTTCTAAGGCGCTTCATCCTTTGCCTGTTGACTGCTTCTCTCCTCTGCTAGAGTTCAGCTTCCATGAGGACAAACAGTTTGGTTTGTTCACAGCTGTATCCTCAGGACCAAGAACTGTGTCTGCCACATAGGAGGGGCTCCCAAAGTGCTTGCTGAATGGACAGGTGTTTACCTCTGGGTGGGGTCCAGGAGGGGCTGGAGAGGGTTCAAAGGAACGGGTGCTGTGCCATTGTTTTAGCTGTGTGATGGGTGCACAGGTTACTGTTATTACTATTATTAAGACTACTTTATTATTCAAACATACATATATGGGCTGGGCACCGTGTTTTGCGCCTGTAATCCCAGCATTCTGGGAGGCCTAGGAGGATGGATCACTTGAAGCCAGGAGTTTGAGACCAGCCTGGCCAACATGGTGAAACCCCGTCTCTACTAATAAAGTACAAAAAAATTAGCCAGGTGTCATGGCAGGCACCTGTAGTCCCAGCTACTCGGGAGGCTGAGGCATGAGAATTGCCTGAACCAGGGAGGCAGAGGTTGTGGTGAGCTGAGATGGTGCCACTACACTCCAACCTGGGTGACAGAGCAAGACTCTTGTCTCAAAAAATTAAACAAAAAAACACTAAACTATACATATATGATACACCAACAAGATTTTTTGGTGGGGGCCTAAACCACCTGATTTTAAAGTTCATGTGGAAAAATTACACAGGCAAGAATAGCAGGAGGTCAGGCACCTGTAATTCCAGCACTTTGGGAGGCCGAAGTGGGAGGATCGCTTGAGACCAGCCTGGGTAACAGAGCAAGACCCCATCTCTACACAGAAAGCTGAAAGATTAGCCAATCATGGTGGCACATGCCTGTAGTCCCAGCTACTGGGAAGACTGAAGTGGGAGAGTTAAGCCAGGGAGGCAGAGGCTGCAGTGAGCCGAGATCCTGCCACTGCAATCCAGCCTGGGCAACAGAGCAAGACCCTGTCTCAAAAACAGAAAAGAAAAAAAGACTAGTAGAAAAACTCTGTAAAAGAGCCATGAAGGGAAATGGTCCTGTCAGATATGAAAATCCTCAGGCCGGGCACAGTGGCTCACGCCTGTAATCCCAGTACTTTGCGAGGCCAAGGCAGGTGGATCACCTGAGGTCAGGAGTTTGAGACCAGCCTGGCCAACATGGCAAAACCCCATCTCTACTAAAAATACAAAAATTAGCCAGGCATGGTGGCGGACACCTGTAATCCCAGCTACTTGGGAGGCTGAGGCAGGAGAATTACTCAAACCTGGGGTGTGGAGGTTGCAGTGAGCCGAGATCGTGCCATTGCACTCCAGCTTGGATGACACAAGCAAGACTCCATCTCAAAAGAAAATCCTCGGCCGGGTGCGGTGGCTCAAGCCTGTAATCCCAGCATTTTGGGAGGCCGAGACGGGCGGATCACGAGGTCAGGAGATCGAGACCATCCTGGCCAACACAGTGAAACCCCCATCTCTACTAAAAAAAAAAAATACAAAAATGCAAAAACTAGCTGGGGGCGAGGTGGCGAGGCGCCTGTAGTCCCAGCTACTCGGGAGGCTGAGGCAGGAGAATGGCGTGAACCCGGGAGGCAGGGCTTGCAGTGAGCTGAGATCCGGCCACTGCACTCCAGCCTGGGAGACAGAGGCGAGACTCCGTCTCAAAAAAAAAAAAAAAATCCTCTGTTGGGCCTCACTTAAAGCGTGTGGTACAGTACGATCATAGACAGGCAGTCAGAGACAGACCCAAGTACAGATGGGTGTTCAGTGTCTGACCAAGGCAATATATGTGAACAGGGTAAAGACAGACTTGTCTAAAAATGGCATTAGGTAGCTGAACCATCTGGGAAAAAGATGAAGTCAAATTCAAACCTCACCCTGTACACCCAGATAAGAATCCAATGTAATAAATATTTAACTGCAAATTACTAGACCCAAAATAGTATTAGTATCAAGCATGACTTTTAACTATGACTCAAATTCCAGAAGCCATACAAAGACATTTTCTTTCTTTTCTTTTCTTTTTTGAGATGAAGTTTCGCTCTCGTTGCCCAGCCTGGAGTGCAATGGTGTGATCTCGGCTCACATAGCCTCCACTTCCCGGAGTTTAAGCTTAATTCTCCTGCCTCAGCCTTCCAAGTACCTGGGATTACAGGCGTGCGCCATCACGCCCAGCTAATTTTGTATTTTTAGTAGAGATGGGGTTTCTTCCACGTTAGTCAGACGGTCTCGAACTCCCAACCTCAGGTGATTTGCCCACCTCAGCCTCCCAAAGTGCTGGGATTACACGCATGAGCCACTGCGCCCGGCCTAGAAATCTGTATCTTTACATAAATCTTTCCATTTAAAATAGAGCCCTTGTGCCTTCCTCCAAAAATAAAGCTACAATAAAAATAAATAAAATCTGGGCAATCTATTCAAAATTCCCCCCATGCCAAATGTTTTTGTTTAAACTGCACAAGTTAAACTGATCATACCTGCAACCTGAATGCAGCCCAGCTTATGATGAAGATTTGAACCATCCCCATAGCATGAGGCTTCAGGGGTCAGGTATTTTTGTTTTAAGACAGGGTTGGCTGGGCACGGTGGCTCACACCTGTAATCCCAGCACTTTGGGAGGATGAGGCAGTAGAGGATCACTGGGGTTCAGGAGTTCGAGACCAGCCTGGGCAACATGGTGAAACCCCATCTCTATAAAAAAAATACAAAAATTAGCCAGGTGTGGTGGTGCACACCTGTGGTCCCAGCTACTCAAGAGGTTGAGGTAGGAGGATCGCCTGAGCCCATGAGGCCGAGATTCAGTGACCCAAGGTCATGCCACTGCATTCCAGTCACGAGTGACAGACCAAGACCCTGATTTTTAAAAACAAAAAACGAAACAAAACAAAAAAAACACAGGAAAAAGACAGGGTCTTGCTAGAGTGCAGTGGCACAATCACTTAGTTCACTGAGGCCTCCAACTCCTGGGCTCATGTAGTCTCACTTCAGCCTCCCCAAGTAGCTGGGAGCACAGGTGCGCCGCCATGGTGATGCCGTTTAATTCACCAATTTTTGTAGAGATGGGGATGTCTCCCTATATTGTCCAAGCTGGTCTTCAACTCCTGCCTCAAGTGATCCTCCCACCTGGCCTCCCAAAATGCGGGGATTACAGGCATGTGTATGATTGGCCAGGGGCCAGATATTGACACAGACTATCCCTCTTTCCTTAGGGCGCTGCAGGCAGAGTGAGCTCCTCCTCCTTCATAGGGGCACTTCCAAGATGGTTTCCACAAAGCCAGTATTGTGGGGCCAGACTGAGATGAGAAGATAAAGACCTCATCTCCTCTGCTCTCTCCCCATCCTGCAACACCCACTCACACCTCCAGGCCTGTCCTGCCAGCTCCTTTCTCCTCCTGGAGTCACGGTAGGAGCAGCTCCACACCTGCACTGCCCCCTGCTCCAAAGTCACCTCCTCATGAGGCCCACCCAGACCCTCCTATTCAAAGAGGAAGTGGAGGCTGCAGCCTCTCCAGCATGCTCGCTGCCCTCCCCACTCTGCCTCACTCCTGAGCCCTCCCCCTCACTCCACGCACTCTGTAACCCCATCCAAGAGAACCTCTCAGACAAGCCTTGGGCTCCAGAGGCTCCCAGCAGCCAGAGAGGCGGGGACAGATTCTCCCTCACAGCCCTCGGAAGGAACCAGCCCTGCCGAGGCCTTGACCTTGGACCCTGAGCTCCAGAACTGTGGGGAAACGTGTCTTGGTGGTTAAAGCTCCAGATTCTGGAGGGATCAGGTTGGATGATAGGGGCAGGGAGGATAGAATGTGAACTCTCAGGTGCTCTGGGGCTGGCGGGAAGGATTTGGGAGGAACGGACATCGTCCTTGAGGCACTGGGTGGGGGTCTGGGTACTGTCTTCTTTTACGTTACTTCGTTCGTTTGGCTGGTCAAAGGCCAGAACTGCTGCTTAGAGGCTTTGTCCTTTTTAGCGTTCCAGCCAGCTGACCTCTTCCCCAGACCGGTCACCTCCTTCTCAGCCCTCCTCTTGCCTGTTCCCTCACCTGGCCCCGCGGGGTTCCTGGTCAGCATCCTGCATTCACTGTTTCCTGTGACCTGGGCCTAATCAGATTCCCCGGCCTCATCACAGATTAGCTCACTTCTGTGCCTGGGGCTCCACAAGCTCAGCCATCTGTAGGGCATGTCCAGGAAGCCTGGGCCAGGGTCCTGGCCGCCCGCTGATAGGTTTCAGGGAGGCGAGATAAAGTTCAGAGATGATCACAAAGACCCAACAGATCCCAAACTGGCAACCCGAGGCCAAAACAGCCCACAGGTGCCGCTCTTTGAACCTCATATCCATTTCTGGATTCATGACACCTAAAAATCCACAACTCAGCAGATCAACTGCAGAGCTGAACAACTGGAAATTCTGGCCACACCAGAGTGAATTCCCACTTGATTAGCACTGGCCCAGCTGCCTGCACGGTGAGCCAGCTCCAGCTCAAAGTCCCTACACATCCACCAGCCTCCCTCCCAGCCGGCATGGTGGACTCCCACAACACGCCCCACCCCGCCCCCAGGTACCGCGTTTCTGAGCCCGCATCACTCCAGCACTTTATAAGGAAGAGCACATGCCCACCTCCGCCTGATCCGATGAGCGCAAAAGGCAAGACCTTGTTTGTCACACAGGCACACAAGGGGAGTTTAAAAAGGAAAAAGGACTGTCCAGGTTCACTCAACAGCCGTGTCAAGGAAGCACGTTGTTTCGCCCAGCTCAGCACATTCTCCGTCCGACAGCACTCTCCCCTCAGCTGTTCCTCACCCTGGGAGAGCTGCCGCCGGACCACCCCTCTGGAGCAGGCCCCGCGAGTCTCTTCTAAGGCGTGTGTGTTTCCCTCGTTACATCCAGAGAATGTCTAACCGCTCATGTGCCTGTTGACCGGTTTATCCTCTGCTTCTCTTCCAAGAATCTAGGCCTCTGCCCGGACTCCTCCTTGCTCAACTCCGGAGGGTGCCCTTTGTGAGCGGCGGCCCCTGGAGTTGTGATGCTGGAGGTCTGGCCCCACTGAGAGAGGAGACGGTGGGCTCTTGCTCACTGCAGGCCTCACTGAGCCGGGCCTATGCGCACCTTAGAAAGATTTCCTGGGCAGGCACAGTGACCACACCCATAGTCCCAGCTGGGGAGGCTGAGGTGGGACGATGTCTGGAGCCCGGGAGGTGGAGGCTGCAGTGAGCCATGATGGTGCCACCGCGCTCCAGCCTACGTGACAGAGTGAAACCTTGTCTCAAAGAGCGAATGAAGAAGAAAAAAATTCCTGGGTAAAAAGCAATGTGCAGAAATTGATTGTGCCAGAAGCTTCCCTGAAGCCAAGACACACCAGCTCCACCTCTCCATTGTGAAAAGCCTCTCCCAGTCCGCAGCCCCTGGGATGTCCTCACAGCCTGCTCTGATGCTGGGCACCCACCCCAGGTCAGCAGAGCATGGCCCACAACATTCACCAACATTTTAGTCAAGACACTGACCAAACTCTCCCAGAGAGTGTGGCTTTCTGGGATGTGCAGTGGCTGTATGGCCTCGCCCGGAGTCATGGCAACACTGAATCTCAGTTTCTCCTGCTGTAAATGGGATGAGGGTGGGGCGGGAGGGGATTCAGTGAGATGCTGTTTGCAAAATTCTTAGTATCTTGCCTTGTCTAGGGCAAGTCCTTGACATCCTCAGTAAGAACAGTGACAAATATACAACGGCCTTGGACAGCGGAGTCCCCTACCTGCGGCCACCTTCGTGGTTCCTCTTTGCAGGAGGAGCTCCCCGCACTCCTCATTCAACTGGCTATTGCTCTTCAGTAACCTGGAGACAGAAGGATGCTGCCGTGCTTAGGCCAATAAAGGAAGTCAGATAAAAAGGAAAGGGCGGGGATGGTGGCTCATGCCTGTAATCCCAGCACTTTGGGAGGCCGAGATGGGCGAATCACCTGAGGTGAGGAGTTCGAGACCAGCCTGGCCAACATGGTAAAACCCCATCTCTACTAAAAATATAAAACTTAGCTGGACGTGGTGGTGTGTGCCTATAATCCCAGCTACTTGGGAGGCTGAGGCATGAGAATCACTTGAACCTAAGGAGGCGGAGGTTGCAGTGAGCTGAGGTGTGGCACTGCATTCAGCTTGGAGAACAGAGCAGATTTGGTCTCAAAAAAACAAAAGGTGCAGCGAAAAGAGGGAGGAAGGGTCACCCACAAGGGTACATGTGTTCCGTGGTCTTTTGTATTCTTTTCTTTTTTTTTTTTTTGAGACGGAGTCTCGCTCTGTCGCCCAGGCTGGAGTGCAGTGGCCGGGTCTCAGCTCACTGCTCCGCCTCCCAGGTTCACGCCATTCCTCCTGGCTCAGCCTCCTGTGCTGGGACTACAGGCATCGCCACCTCGCCCGGCTAGTTTTTGTATTTTTAGTAGAGGCGAAATTCACGGAGTTTTCGGATGGTCTCGATCTCCTGACTGTGTGATCCGCCCGTCACCGGCCTCCCAAAGTGCTGGATGAGCACTTGGCTCCACCGCGCCCGGCCTTTTCTTCTTTTCTTTTATGAGATGGAGTATCGCTCTGTCGCCCAGGCTGGAGGTGCATTGGCGCAATCTTGGCTCACTGCAAGCTCTGCCTCCCAATTTCATCCCATTCTCCTGCCTCAGCCTCCCGAGTAGCTGGGACTACAGGCGCCTGCCCTGCCACGCCGGCCTAATTTTTTGTATTTTTAGTAGACACAGGGTTTACCGCCAGCCCAGGATGTTCTCGATCTCCTGACCTCGCGATCCACCCGCCTCAGCCTCCCAAAGTGCTGGGATTACAGGTGTGAGCCACTCGTCTGGCCCTTGTTTTCTTTTGGTGGAGACAGGGTCTCATTCTGTCACCAGGCTGGGTACAGTGACATGATCATGGCTCTCTGCAGCCTCGACCTCCTGGGGCTGCACAATCCTCCCAACTAAGGCTGCGAGTAGCTAGGACCACATGCGTGTGCCACCGTCACCAATTTTTTTTTTTTTTTTTTTGATACAGGGTCTCGCTATGTTGCTAACGCTGGTCTCTAACTCCTGGGCTCAAGCTATCTTCCCACCTCAGCTTCCCAGTGTGCTGGGATTACAGGTGTAGGCCACTGCGCCTGGACTGTGTCCCGTGTTTCAATGGCATGTTTACAGCGGCAGGGTGTGTGTGTGCGCGCCTGCGTGTGGTGGGGCAGTGGGGGGCAGGGTGTGTGTGTGTGTGCGTGCGTGTGGTGGGGCAGTGGGGGGCTTCTCCTCCTTCAAACAACAAATATGTGAGGAGCTCCGACCTACCAGGCCCACCGCCAGATGCAGGAGGCACAAACATGACCAAGTCAGCCATAGTGGGGGTTGTGGGGTTCACAGGCCTCAGGAACAGAAGTCAGTAAATGTATTGGACAGTGTGGTTACCTGCAGGGCAGGGAGGGACAGCTCGCCTGGGGGTGTCAGGGCACTTCCCAGCTGAAGCCCCCAGGAGTGGGGAAGCCAGTGAGCAAGCACAGGGGAGAATTCCAGCTAAAGGGCCCAGGCTGGAGTCCGGAGGAAGAAGAAGGCGTGGAAGCAGCGTGTGCTCCGGGAGGCGGGGGCTGAGAGGTGTGGGGAGGCTGTTGGGTAAGTGAGGCATGGCCGGAGCAGGGGCAGAGGGAAAGGAGATAATGTCCCTGAAGACCCTGGGAAGCCTGGTGCTCAGTGTAACCCTAGAGAAAAATAGGCTTGTTGGGTGAGAGGGAGAAGAGCGCTTCCCCACATCTCTGGGTGTCCTCCCGTGGACCCCACAGCTCCCCATCACACCAGGCACTCACCTCTGCAGCAGCACTGAAAGCTACAAGGCAACACGCTCGAGGGCTCCTGGGAGGCCTCTACCTGCAGCATGTGCTCTATGGCTCTCCGCTTGTAGGTCAGCAAGTTCTCCACTTCCTAAGAAGCCACAGTTGGCTGGGTGGGGCAGGGATCAGGCTGCAGACCAGGCCTCCACCCTCAGCCTGCCTCTCCTCTCGCTAGGCCTCTCGCAAAGAGACAGTCAGAGATCAGGTGGGATGATGGGAGAAGGGGAATCTCCTGTCCAACTGTTGAGTGCTTTGCAAAAGGCATGAAATTAGGGTCAGACGCCATGAACCACAGGGTTGGCGATTTCTTCTGGTTCAACAAATGCCATCACTCTCAGTGGCAGAAAAGGACTGGCGGAAAGGGCGCCGTTCTGGGGCTTCCAGGCTCCCCAGGATGCGTGGCTCACTTCTGTGAGGACAGCCTCGGAGCCCAACTCCCATCTACCCGCCCTGAGAATGGAGGACAAGAGGAACAAATGCCCCTCTGACTCACCCAGGAGAGGAAGCCCCGGGGCCACTGCAGCATCAATTCAGTGGGTGAAATGCAGAAAGAGAGGAGTGTCTGCTGTCTGCCATCTGTGAACTGGATCCTCACAGCAGTCCTGAGCTACTGAGCTCATGCAAGGAACATTTACTGAGCCCTTCCTAGGTGCAGGGTTAGGGAGTGGTGACAAAGAGATGGACATGATTCTTGCCCTTATGACATCTGTAGTAGTTTTTCTTTTTCTTTTCGGAGATGGAGTTTCACTCTTGTTGCCCAGGCTGGAGTGCAATGGCGCGATCACAGCTCACCACAACCTCCGCCTCCCGGGTTCAAGTGATTCTCCTGCCTCAGCCTCCCAAGTAGCTGGGATTACAGGCATGCGCCCAGTAGTCTTATCTTTTCAGTAGAGACGGGGTTTCTCCATGTTGGTCAGGCTGGTCTCAAACTCCTGACCTCAGGTGATCCGCCCGCCTTGGCCTCCCAAAGTGCTGGGATTACAGTTGAGCCACCGCGTCCGGCCAATCTGTGAACCCTTCTATGGAAAAAACCTGAAACTGACGGGAGTTGTGTCACAACTGAGAGGCTGAGACCTTGGCAAGAAAATGACAGGATGTCAGGGCTGGCTAGGGCATGCAGCCCAACCTCATTTTACAGGTGCGGGAACTGAGGCAAAGTAATTTGCCAAGGTCACCAGCAGGTAAACCACCAGGCCAGGACCCAGATGCAGGGGACATTACTGGTTATGGGTAGTGAGTGGCCACAGGGTGAGTACTTGTTCCATCAGTTCACTTTTAGGGTGGTCATGTGTGGTGGTGCAATGTGTACACACTGCAAAGGCATTCGACTGGGGTGTGAGTGCACTCGCTGCTTGGCTGTGTGCCCTACAACATCCTCCAGCCATGGCTCCTGCCCTCTTCCACCCCTGCCACTGCATGATCAGCCTGGCATTCTGCAGATCCCAAGCCACACATCCAGTTTCCAAAGGGAGTCCCCACACCCCTTCTCCTGACCACTCTAGGGAGTATAAGCGGCAGAGAGCTGTCCTCTGGTGGAGGCGGGTCCCTGACTCCCCTTCCCACCCTCTGCCGCCTCCTCCCCTTACCTCCTAGTGTCCCTCCTTTAAAGGAGACAGGAGCTGAAACACTACCAGAGTGCACGTCCTCCCTAATGACAGCATGCACAAGCCCGCTTCTCACATTGGATTCCAGGAGAAGCAGCGAGCGGAGTCAGCAAGATAAGTTTATTCACCATCTAAAGGGAAGATACCCAGGAAAACTGTGAGGACAGCAGAAGGGGAGAATGAATAGGGGGAAGAAGGAAAGGACTCTCCTGCCTTTCCCAGGGGACCCTGGAGTTCCCAGAAACATCTTTTAGGCTCAAGAGGTGGTGACCAAGGGAGCCCAGAAGGAGAATGTTCTATCCTATGGTGTGCCTTCCCCCCACCACCCCCACATCTGCACCTAGCACTGAGCTGCAGACCCTGGTGGTGGCTGGACTCCCAGGGTGCTCTGGGACAGGGTATGGGGGGGTAAACATTAACTCTACCCAGAAGTCTCCGTTTACACCAACTTCCTGGCATAATGACTATTACTGTGACAGGAGGAGGCACTTCCTATCCCAGGTACCTTCTCCTTCCTCCTCTGTGCTACCATCCCCAGCCCAGCCGAGGGACCCCTGTTGGCCAGACAAAGCCATCTACTCACCATTCCGCCCACAATGCCACCTGGGGGGACAAAAGAGCCATTGGTGACATTCCCTCCTCCTCCCCAGCTGCAAGCCTAAGGCTTCTTCCCACCAATGGCGGAGAGGAGAGGGGAGCTCCATGTAGGTGGCTGGGGGGCTCAGTATCTGGTGCGATGGCCCCTTCATCAGACCGACCACTCAAAGGAGCCACATTTCCCTCATCTCTGTGTCCCTTGCAGCAGTTGCCTGGGGAGTCAGAGGTACAGTGGTCAGTCTCTGATGCTCTCATCTCTCTCTGCAGATCTCATAAGCGCAGGGGACAGCGGTGGGGCAGCAGCTCCTGTCCTTCCCTCCCAGCCCAACTCCGGGCCCGCTTGGCTGCTGGTCAGTGTACTCACCGAAGCTGTGGCCCAGGAGCTGGAGGTGATTCCATTTCAAGGCTGGAAACAAGGAACCAGAAGGTCAGGCTGTGCACGAGCTCAGCCACGCCCTCTCGCATCTACTCCCGGGCTCAAATCCTTCCCAGCATCCTGGGGTGTCCACCCAGGAGACCAGCAGGGGACCACAGGAGGAAGCAAACTCTTCAACTTTCCTAGAATCTCCCGTGAATTGCTGGCAGACCTGGGGGCCAGAGCCCAGGGTCCACTCCCAGGCCAGCGCATATTCCTGAATCCTACCCAAACTCAATGATAAGAGGTGTCCCAGAGCAAGCCGCATGAAAAATACACTGCTTCTTACCTGCCACAACTCTTCGGATGTCACTCACAAAAGTCTGGTGGTAATATGGGACACCTGGGCTGTAATGGGACCCGAGCCCATGACCTCCAAAATCCATGGCAACATAATAAAAGTCTGAAACAGAGAAGCAGGTTGGAGGGTAGGAAAGTGTCTATGCCAGCTGCCTCCCGCCTCCTCACTCCTGCAGACCTCCCCCTCACCTTCTACTTGCCCACATTCCCCCGGACTTCCCTTCAGCCCCAGCCTCACACCTTGCGGGAGAAGAGGGATGAGTCTGTCGAAGGAGTTGGCATTGTCCAGCCAGCCGTGCAGGCAGAGAACTGGAGGAGCCCTGCAGGCGAGCCCCAGGCTTTGGCTGCGATGTGGCCCAGGCACAGCCAGCTTCAGCTCTGAGATCAGACTGAAGACAAATTTGGCTCTTTCATTCCTTCACACTCTTGCATCCATGAAGCTGGTGCTCCTGAAACCTTATCTCTGCCTGCTGTGCTTGAGCCAGAGTCATGTCCAGAAGACTCAGCTGCCCCCAGAAGGTTGCTGGGAGGAGAAGCCACACATGGAGTGTGGAGACTCCCAGAGGAGGGAAAGATAAGTTAGGCCGGGGCTTCGAGGCAGGCCTCATGTCACCCCATTTAAACTGGGGCAGAACCTTCTAGAATGTGCTGGGGTAGGTGCGCTGGTCATGCCCGGACCCTACCAGTTGCAGGCTGGGTGACCTTGGACAAAGTACTAAACTGTCTTGAGACTCAGTTTCCTTTCCTGTAAAACTGGAGTAAACAGAGTAAACAGCCAGTTTCCTTAGCCTTTCCCAAAGAAGGGCCAGAGGGGGTGCCAAACCCTCACACATGCAGCAAATTAGGACCACTGTCCTCTCACTTCACAGAGCAGGAAACTGAGGCACTGGGAGCTGCAGCCATGCCAAAGTCACACTGGGCGACAGGAGGAGTGAAATTTAGGGCAGGCGGTGGGACTCCAGGACCCACCACTGCCCCAGAGCTCGCAGCCTCCGCCCCGTCCTTGCCGGGCTGGAGACCTGCGCGCCCCGACCTTGCGCGCACGCTCGGCTAACTCAGGGGCTCCTGGAACCCTGTGAGGCCACATGCGACCGTGTCCCGAGGCCCCCACCTCAGGCCGGTCGCTCCTCTCACACCCGGGACTGCCGAAGAAGGAGCTGCGACACCCAGCAGGGCGACGCGGATCCGCGAACCCTCCTCCCATCCGCCTCCTCCACAGTCCCAATCGGAGTGGGTGGGCGAGGCGGGAAGGCCTTCGCGCGAGGCCTCCTGGTCCCACTGGAGTCTAAGGAGACCTGGTGCAGCGTTCTCACCCATCATCTTTTCCCTTGTGAATCATGTGGCGTCACGCCCTCACACCTGGCTCAGTCGCAGGAGGAGACGACGCCCGCCACTTCCGGGGCTCTCTAGTCTCTCCGCTCCGCCCCGCCCCATGCAGGCCACGCCTCCACGCCTCGCGCCCCGCCTTCACGCCGCCCTCCCTGCGCCTGGCGGCCCGCTCCTGCTTGGCCGCCGGCCCCACCCCCTAAGCCGCCCCGCCCGCCCGACCCCACGCCCCACCCACGCAGGCCCTGCAACTCCAACAGTCCCCATCCGCATTCAGAGGCCCCGCCTTCTCACCACCTACCAGAGCCCCCAGGCCAGTCTGCTTCCCTCCCGCCGGCTCCACGCCAGGAAGGCCCCCGCCCCACCCGCCCAGGCCCGCCTTCGCACCACCTTGTCAGCCACCGGCTGGAAGCCAGCAGGGCCCCCAAATCCTTAGGCAGTCCTGGCCGCCCCACGTCATGGCAGGGACCAGGCCTGAGAGCAACCACAGCGAGTTGGACCTCTGAGTGTTCGCTGGCCCGCGATGCAGGGCTGAAGACTACTCCTTGTTTAGTGGCTTACTAGGCCCCCTGACCGACAGCCTGAGACCACCGGGTACCCACCGTGTTCTGGGTCCTCCAGCAGAGCCTGAACAAGCAAGTCTTAATGATTGTTGTATAGGTGAACAAATGAATGTATAAACTGAGGACCTGGAGAACCCTCAGCTGAGGGATTATAAACAATATCCTGCTGGAAAGGATCAAAACCCCAAGTTCAGAAGAGGATGTTTGGGGTGAGCAGATTCATGCACTAAATCCTACTGAAGAAGTGCACCGCTTTGGAGTCTCGAAAACAGTGGCAAGTCTAGGACAAATAAGAACATGTACTGGTAGTGAACCTTTTTTTTTTTTTTTTTGAAGCGGAGTCCTTGGTTGCCCAGGCTGGAGTGCAGTGGCGCAATCTCCGCTCACTGTAACCTTCGCCTCCCGGGTTCACGCCATTCTCCTGCCTCAGCCTCCTGAGTAGCTGGACTACAGGCACATGCCACCCCGCCCGGGCTAATTTTTTGGGGGGTTTTTAGTAGAGACGGGTTTTCACTGTGTTAGACACGATGGTCTCCATCTCCTGACCTCGTGATCCGCCGGACTCGGCCCCCAAAGTGCTGGGATTATAGGCGTGAGCACAACACCTGGCCAAGTACTGGTAGTGAATTCTTATAATTTATGTTTGCCTTGGCGTCCATTTTAGTAAGATTTAATTTTTTTCCTACAAGCAGCAAGGCTCAGGCACCTTGGCAGTTTCAGGCCTATACCACACCCAAATGACTGCAGAGATAAGAAGTTAGAGGTCTGACAGGGTGGGAATAGGCTCAGGCCTGTAATCCAAGGCAAGAAGATCGCTTGAGGCTAGGAGTTTGAGACCAGGGCTGGGCAACATGGTGAGATTCCCCACGCCACCACCACAACCACTAAAAAATAAAACAACACTTAGAGGCATCTCTAGTGCCTAGCAGACTGCGCTCCTGCTTTCCCCGTGCTTCCTTTAAAAAGAACAGCCAGCAAACTTACTGGCCCCTGACCATTCCCTTCTACCTGTTAGTCTGCCTCTTTCTGCCTGACTCTTCACTCCCACCTCCCGTGACCAGGGATGAGGGCTCCTCAGTCTCACTACACTTTCCTTGCCCGTGTTCTGTATTAAAATCTGGACTTGTTTGTTGCTGCAGTGAGTGGGTTGAATTTTTCCATCAGAACAACCAGGGGGCTGCCGACGGGCTCCGAGGGCCAGGCCGATAGGCAGCATAAACTGGACACGGGTCTCACCAGAAACCTGAGGCTTTTCCCATGTGAGGGATCTCTGGTCATAGGTCAGACACTAGGCATGAGGTTGTCCACTAGTTACAAGAAGTATCTGTGTAAGGTGCACTGCACGCACCCGTCTAGCCCCACCTTTCTGCTTAGAGCAGGTTGCTGGCTACTCTCTGGCATTGGCCAGAACCCCAGTTTGGCTGGAGGCTCTCAAACTCGAGACTTCCTGTTCCTTCAGTACCATTGCTAGTTGGAAGCTCTGGGAGTAAATGGGATGTGATCCCTCGAGCTCCAGTCCGGCAGGCGCTCGTGGTGGGGAGCCACCGTACAGCACGCTGAGGTGGGAGAGATCTGTGGGCGGGATTCTCCTGGACCGGGACAAGACCGACCCTGGAGACAGAGAAGACATCGGGCTGCAGAAGTTAAGGGAGCTTCCCAGTGGAGCCGCAATGCAGGAAGGTTGTCAGTGGCTAGAAACAGTGGGCAAGGCGGGCGTGGACTGGGGCTTGGGGTGCTGCGAGGGTTACGACGGGCCTTGCATGTGGGGCCGAGGAGCAGCCCTTATTCTGAGTGGTGGGGCCCTGGGGAAGCTAGGAGCTGGGAGATGACAGGACTGCTTCTAGAAAGGTCCATGCATGGTACAGTCCATCCGTTCAGTAAACAGTTTGGCTTTCCATGGGCCTGGACCCTTTTACAGAGATTATGCAAGGGGTCGAAGATCCTGGGGTGACAGAGGCATTGAGACACGAACCCCCTGTGAGGGTGGGTTGGTCTCTTTCGTCTTCCTGCCCTGAGGACCCCTTGGCGGCACCCCCTCTTCACTGATGACACAAATTTATGCCTGGGCACCAGGCTCAACCTGACCCGGGATGGGGACCTGACCTCCAGCATCTTCACCTCAATCTGTTGTGGCTCCACCAGCCCCTTCAACACAGATGCACCCAGTCCCTTCTCTGTCCGGCAGATTCGTGGCCCCTCCAGTCTCCCCACTTCCCACCCCACCCTCATCTTCACACTCACATCCTGTTATCACACCTCGACCTTTCCCCACCTGCCTCTCTTCACTTCCATTCCTGTGACCCTCCCCTCCTCCCACCTCCTGAGCTGGCTTTTCATCACCCCAAGAGACCAAGAGAAATCACTTGCGCCATGCCACCAGCTCCCGCTGGAGCTCAGCTGGAACTCCGATCTGCTTCCTGTGTGGGAGTCTCCGGTGCTTCTCACACCGCCTGCTGGAGGAGGTGGATTCCTGCCCGGCATGAAGCCTTCTCTGAGGCCCGCTCTCCTTTATACCACATTTAGCTCCAGGAATGCTGGGATGCCTATTGTATGCACCTGCCCCCAATTTTCACACTCCTGTAGTATCACTTGCTTATGCCGTTCCTTCCAGACCAGAGCGCGGTTCCTTAACCCGGGAGGCAGAGCTTGCAGTGAGCTGAGATCCGGCCACTGCACTCCAGCCTGGGAGACAGAGCGAGACTCCGTCTCAAAAAAAAAAAAAAAATCCTCTGTTGGGCCTCACTTAAAGCGTGTGGTACAGTACGATCATAGACAGGCAGTCAGAGACAGACCCAAGTACAGATGGGTGTTCAGTGTCTGACCAAGGCAGCCCCTTATGTGAACAGGGTAAAGACAGACTTGTCTAAAAATGGCATTAGGTAGCTGAGGAGCCATCTGGAAAAAGATGAAGTCAGATTCAAACCTCACCCTGTACACCAGATAAGAATCCAATGTAGTAAATATTTAACTGCAAGTACTAGACCCAAAATAGTATTAGTATCAAGCATGACTTTTTAACTATGACTCAAATTCCAGAAGCCATACAAAAGACATTTTCTTTTCTTTTCTTTTCTTTTTTGAGATGAAGTTTCGCTCTCGTTGCCCAGCCTGGAGTGCAATGGTGTGATCTCGGCTCACCGCAACCTCCACTTCCCGGGTTTAAGCAATTCTCCTGCCTCAGCCTTCCAAGTACCTGGGATTACAGGCGTGCGCCATCACGCCCAGCTAATTTTGTATTTTTAGTAGAGATGGGGTTTCTTCACGTTGGTCAGGCCGGTCTCGAACTCCCAACCTCAGGTGATTTGCCCACCTCAGCCTCCCAAAGTGCTGGGATTACACGCATGAGCCACTGCGCCCGGCCTAGAAATCTGTATCTTTACATAAAATCTTTCCATTTAAAATAAGGGCCCTTGTGCCCTTCCTCCAAAAAATAAAAAGAGCACAATAAAAAATAAATAAAATCTGGGCAATCTATTCAAAATTCCCCCCATGCCAAATGTTTTTGTTTAAACTGCACAAGTTAAACTGATCATACCTGCAACCTGAATGCAGCCCAGCTTATGATGAAGATTTGAACCATCCCCATAGCATGAGGCTTCAGGGGTCAGGTATTTTTGTTTTAAGACAGGGTTGGCTGGGCACGGTGGCTCACACCTGTAATCCCAGCACTTTGGGAGGTTAAGGCAGTAGGATCACTAGAGTTCAGGAGTTCGAGACCAGCCTGGGCAACATGCTGAAATCCCATCTCTATGAAAAAATACAAAAATTAGCCAGGTGTGGTGGTGCACACCTGTGGTCCCAGCTACTCAAGAGGTTGAGGTAGGAGGATCGCCTGAGCCCATGAGGCCGAGGATTCAGTGACCCAAGGTCATGCCACTGCATTCCAGTCTGAGTGACAGACCAAGACCCTGATTTTTAAAAACAAAAAACGAAACAAAACAAAAAAAACACAGGAAAAAGACAGGGTCTTGCTAGAGTGCAGTGGCACAATCATGGTTCACTGAGGCCTCCGACTCCTGGGCTCATGTGAGTCTCCCGCTTCAGCCTCCCAAGTAGCTGGGAGCACAGGTGCGCCGCCATGGTGATGCCGTTTAATTCTGAATTTTTTGTAGAGATGGGGATGTCTCCCTATATTGTCCAAGCTGGTCTTCAACTCCTGCCTCAAGTGATCCTCCCACCTGGCCTCCCAAAATGCGGGGATTGCAGGCATGTGTATGATTGGCCAGGGGCCAGATATTGACACAGACTATCCCTCTTTCCTTAGGGCGCTGCAGGCAGAGTGGGCTCCTCCCTCCTTCATGGGAACACTTCAAGATGGTTTCCACAAAGCCAGTATTGTGGGGCTTGAACTGAGATGAGAAGATAAAGACCTCATCTCCTCTGCTCTCTCCCCATCCTGCAACACCCACTCACACCTCCAGGCCTGTCCTG